AGTGGAGTTAAATGTGGCCGTTTGTTTCATGCTTAGAATCGAGTGTAGGATATTTGTGGGCATTTTGGGTAGGATGTGGTGAGGTTAACAGATAATATTATCCTCCTTGGCAATAACTTAATCGATAAATTCTGAAAAAATTTCGATTTATTGACATGAGACGAACTCTTATTTCGAAACTAAGCACTATCTACATACACACACACACACACACACGATTTAAACTAATGTTATTCAGTTAAGAGGTTATTATCGTTTTTTCTCTTTTACGTTGGCTTTAAAATAAAGAAATGAGTTACCAAGTTTATGTGGTTTGTGAATTTACTTATTTCTGATGCACATTTACATTTATAAATTTCTCTAAAACTTTTAGTTAGATTGTCAGCAAAAGTTGTGGCCGGAGTATGGTGTTGCTTTTATTACAAAGTGTGTTGTGAAAGGCCTCGAATTCCTCAGGAAACAGGGAATTCAACATCGGGATGTGAAACCGTCCAATATGCTAGTCAACAGACTAGGGTGTGTCAAGGTGAGATGGCATTGCTCAAATATTTTACCAAATCTAATAATTATTATCGAAATAGAGTTTTATCATTTATTTATTTATTTTAAATGGCAAGCGTTTTGATAATTTTCATTAGCCATTTAGCTGACTTCTGGCTTCACAGAGAGAAGGAGGAACAGCAAAGTGACAAAAAGTCGAGAGAGGGGGAGAGAAGAATGATTCACAGATGTAACAGAGACAAAAAAAGTCAGAGAGGAGGTATGATGAGTACTGTGGAAGGAGTCGTATATGGATTACAGTGTGGTAATGGTAGTTTGAAGTCAGAAACCAATTGCCAGTTAATAAACTTTTTTTGCCGTATTGGAGAAGTCAACTACCAGTTAATAGACTTTGCCGTATGAATATACGTTGCCCAGGGTGCACCACGTGGAGGTAAGTCTATTGAAAAACGAATGCCGAGTGATAGAATTTTTGCCGTAAGAAAGTACGTTGCCCAGGGTGCACCACGTGGAGGTAAGTCTATCGTAGTTAACTGCCAGTTAATAGACTTTTTGCCGTATGAATATAACGAAAGCCGAGTGATAGACTTTTTTGCCGTAAGAAAATACGCTGCCCAGGGTGCACCACGTGGAGGTAAGTCTATCGCACACAAACTTCCGGTTAATAGACTTTTTACCGTATGAGTATACGTTTCCCAGGGTGCACCACGTGGAGGTAAGTCTATCGCACACCCACAGAGTGCACCACGTGGAGGTAAGTCTATCGCACACCCCAAGTTTTGTCATTATGCGAATCAGATCTATGGAGTTGAAAGATCTTGTTCTGAGTACTAAGCTGCCGATCGACGGACTGTAATAGCTGAAAAACCCGTGTAACGACTTCTTAAATACCAAATACACTAATTTAGAAGCCTATTTTTGCAAGTACAAGAATAGACTTTAGGGCTAAATTGGATTACATTTTAAGAGGGATTGAAAACACAAGCCATTTTGTCTTGAGTTGCGATTGACCTTGAAGTTTCAATTGGCTCTACATTTTAAGAGGGGAAATGAACTACTCTACGTCAAATAATTTATTTGTCTCAAATGTCAGGCTTTTTGGTAGTTTTCATTAGCATTTTGTTGCCGTCGAGATTCGCAGAGAAGGGGCGATATCAATTTGTAAAAAATTTGAGAGGGAGAACAGAATTGCGATTCACAGATGTAAAAGAGACAGACAGGCACAAAGGTAGAGAAAAAGGTAAGGTAAGGTTAGGTGAGTACTAAGGTAGTGTTGGAATATGACATGCAATGGGGTGATGGTAGTTTGAAGTGAGAAGTAAACTGTCTGGTTATAGACTTTTTTCGTCATATGATTATACATTGCCCAGTGTGCACCACATGGAGGTAAGTCTATTGCGCACCCTATTTGAATCAATCTAACTCGGCGTAGCTAGTCTACACATTGAAATTGAAAAATGTACTCCTTTACTCTTTATAAAGGAGTTTAAGTTTGAACCAATAGGAGGTGGTTTGGGTGCTTATCATTGCACGAACGTGCCAAAACAATAATTGTTAATAATATGCACTGGAACTGGGTTACCCCGAAAATCTTTTAATCAACTTCCCGAATGGATTTGGGGCTGTTTACTGAATAATTTCCATAGAAAGCAAGTTAAATCCGCTAACAACAAGGTAGGCGAATTTTAAGAGGACTGCAGTCAGAAACATATCTTGAGTAAGTGTAGAGTACCATTTAGTTGTACTTCATTTGTTTTAAGAGTTTAGGCTATTCAATTTTCCCACTTTTTGAGAGATTCATTTATCAAAATCTGAAAGGGCTAATCTTGCCACTTCCATGCATTTTCTTTCCAAAGGTAAAGTAGGCAAAGCGATTGAATGTAAACCTAACGCTTTGAAACTGAGATATCAAAAACGGATGTTTAAATATTGTAGATATGCGACTACGGCGTCTCTAAGCGAATGATGAATGGTATAACAAAAACAAAACAAGTGGGAACGTATTCATATATGGCTCCAGAACGTCGAACTTCTGATAGTGAAAATGGAGGTTTTCGAATACAATCAGATGTCTGGTCCCTTGGATTGAGTGTCTTTCACCTATCAACTGGAACCTTCCCGTTCGCTGATTTTTTATCTGCCCGTGCTATTGAAGGTATTTATCAAATGGAAGAAAATTTTTTCTATCGGGAAGATCGTAGGTTTACTTCAGAACAGAGCGAATTCCTCACTGCTTGCCTTAAAACGAATGAACTAGATCGACCTGATTATAAGACTCTTCTACAAATGGATTTCTTAACTGGAGTGAAGATCAAGAACCTTCGTGGAGATTTCGCTAAATTTATCCGAGACACCTTGGGTCCTTAGCTATCTTCCATTTGTAATTCATTCTTCTCATCTCTATCCTCAAATAAGTAGCACTAAAATTTATTTTGACACATTTGTCAAAATGACTGAGTAAACACTTTGTAATGTAGGTTTTCTGGATTCAAAATCTGTAACCCTTATTCCACTAATTTTCCTTACTCCTGTACTTTAAACCTTTGTAACACTTTGCTACCCAATATACAAAAGAAAACATGGTAACCTGGGAGAAATTGCATAGTGGTTTTTATAGTATTATATGTTTGGAGTCCAAACTTAACAGTAGAAAATCTGCAAATTTTGAAAGAGAAGAGAGGTCAAAAAACCAAAGAGTGAACTTTGGTAGTTTTTTTCTTTCCTCTATCATCATTTGCATGTTCGTGAATCATACTTCTATCATGTGATGGTACTTTAGTTATCTGACAATGAGAAGTTAGAATCACAGAGGAAAAATTTGATGTTGCGAAGGAAAGTAATTGCTTGTGAATTACTTAACACCAACCAAAGCAACTAAGAATCCCAAGACATCAATTTAATAGAAAATAAAATTTCATTTAGTTCCTGCCTTTGGACTGGCAAAATCACATTTTAAAGTCAAATATCACTTTTTTGCTTAAAAATAATAACAATTATTTACCAAAACTTCCAACAGAAGCATGAATAACTACAACCTACGAAAATCCCTGGGTATGCCTTTGTGGGACACGTCATCGCGTGCCTGCACGCCAAGATTGGGAGGTGTGGGACACGTCATCGCATGCCTGCACGGCAGGATTGGGAGGTGCTACGTCATCGCATGCCTGCACGCCAAGATTGGGAGGTGCCACCGTAAAAACAGTGACCGAGCAGTTTAACCTAACCCGCCATCCTGATCATGATTAAGCTTCCAGTGTGTGTACACTTTACCCGGAATATACTTGGAGTAGCTCCCTGCGTGTACACTTGATCCGCAATATACGTTCTGAATAAACGTGCTCCGTGCTACACGTCTGTTTCCTTCTACTGAATAAATGTTCCGTGCTACACGTCTGTATCCTCTGTAGAATAAACGTGCTCCGTGCTAAACATCTGTTTCCTTTATATGCAATATACGTACCGAATAAACGCATTTCGTGCTACACGTCTGTTTCCTTTATAGCTGGGCTATAGCTTAGCTGGTTCTGGGAGTCTAGTTAGATGTTGGAGAATTTGTCATAGAGATTTCTGAGCCGAGCAGGCTTCACTAGCGTAACAATTCGCTACACCTTTTTCAATGAAAACTTCTTCATCATCCTGGAAATAAACCAAAATATATCAGACAGTTGACGAAATTTTGGCAAATATTAATTTAGTATTATGTAAATCATGAATATTTTCTAAATTATAAAGATAAATTTCAAAACATTAAATGATAAAATGGGGTGACGTATTTAGTTGCTCTCTTAGGCAGTAAATAAATTGAGCTTATACAAATTATTCAGCGCTCATCATTGTTATTAAATTTTAACTTCACAACATGGTAATAAATTTTAAAAATATTCCATATTAATAATTTTAATATGTTGAAAGAGTTCTTAAATGGGTATAATTAGTACTTAGAATAAATCAATATTGACCGTGCCATTCGAATTTGCGCTTTCTCTCTTTATACTAGCGGGTCATTGTAATTCATATATTTTGGAATGTTCTTTTTTGAAGATTTTATGGAAGGTATTTTATGACACTTAAATATTTCTTGCTTCTTAGCCATTGAGCCGCTTCCCGAATATATCCAGGCTGATTTACTTGAAATAAAGCACTTGGATGAGGAAGTGCAAAGTAATATTTATTAAGTTAAAAAATAGAAACCATAGAAATTCAAAGTGCTTTAGAGATAAGGAAACGAATTTTTTTTGAAAATTGCAAGCATTCTCGAATTGGCGAAAAAGAGAAAGGAGCGGAATATGAAAGCATATTGAAGGTTTGTATGCCTAAACAATTGCATTATCTATCTTCACAGGAATATGACCGCATGGCCGAGTATTC